ACCCCAGGGCCAATGCCTGGTGTCCCGTTGTAGCCATGACCTCCCGGCGCAGTGGAGTATGTTGCACAGGATTTTCGGTTTTTACCTACTTTTTATTTGTCGTTTACTTGCCTCCTCGTCGACTGCCTACTCTATTTCTCATGTCAGTAGTGCTTCATGGATCATGCCCTTCTCTTTATGTTCTTCTTCGTCCCCATATTCATTGTTTCCTTCGATTTCCTTTCCCAGTTAGCACCATCATCATCCTCTTTCCTCATTTATCATCTCCACGTTATTTTTCTTCTCCTCCTACCACAGATTCTGTTCACTCCTTCCTCGTTCTACCATCCTCTTCCTTTCACCGATTTATTCCGTTTATTTGCTTTATCCATTTCAGTTATCCTCTCTGGTCGTTTTCGTGCCATGACCTTTTTTCTCAACTCCCATATTCATTATCATCTCGACTTTGGTTTTGTGTGTGTGTGTATTCGACCGTCGATTTCGATGAGGTCCACCATATGCACCAACCAGATTTTGTAGTGAAGGTGACTGGTCTCAGGTGGTATATTATAGTGATAGCTTACGTAGTTGACGCCAACCGCACTCCCCGCCTTCACCGGGAGTCAAGAAGACCAAACGGGATTCGGCGTTGGCCGCTTTCTCCAATGCAAAACACCGCCTAACTTAGTCTTAAGTGACAGTAGCTCTTTGCGTGGGTACTACTGCACTACCTACCCTCACTCACCTTCAGTCGGTGTCCAGAAAGACTGCATGAGCCCGAGCCGGTTATTTCAGGCGTAAACCACTTTCTCCTAGTTAGGCCAGAAACACCGTCTAACTTAGTCTTACTGTGGCAGTAGCTCTTTGCGTGGGTACTACTGCACTACCTACCCTCACTCATCCTTAGTAGGTGTAAAGACAGGCCCAAGGAGGCGGAGACTGATACGGCTACTAATTTTTCTACCACCATTGATTAGCAATGTAGCTGAATCTTAGTAGTACCGGTACTATTTCTGACGGTAATATTAGTCAAAGGTGACGCTGATCTAAAATCAACACTGGGCTCATATCCCCTCGATCTCAACAAAGAGCGTGAATCTAAGTTTATGATATTCCGAGTAACTACATGCTTGAGGCTCAGAGCACATCAGTGCTTGTTTTGGTTTTTTAAATTTTTCCTCTATTCACCAAAAACTGTCAGTTTCTCCTAGGTTTCGACTACGAGGACTAGAGTGTTGCCGCTAGAAGTAATCTGCCAATGTTAGGAGTGCTAATTCTGGTAATCATACTTACTAAGACCAGTAAATAGTATACTATAATACGGTCTGTACATGCACGTTGAAAATCGGAGGCTAGCATGCTGTCGCATCCTATATCGGGCAAATAGTAAACTGAAGGGATGAAGAAACGTTTATTTAATAATAGCCCGAGTCCTACAATGCCTTTAGGTCGCAACGTAGAGCCGTTTTCCGCTTTTCAGGCTAATTTTAATTGTCTACAGTACCTAGCTCTAGCTTAGAATTTGCAGAACATCTCCTGTCTAATAGGGAACTACTTTCTCCAGAATCAACTAGACATGAAAACTTAGTAACTCCTATAAATGTGTCAGTAGCTGAGTAATAA